TGGAGAGGGGATATGTTTTGGGGGACAGTTAAACCTTAACCCATAGTAATATAAAGGTGGAACCTGGTCAGACAAAGGTTCAACCTGGTTAGACTAGGCCCAGGTCGCTGTGAGCACTTTGTGCCCGCCCTCCTCCTCTGTGTATCTCCGCCCTCTTTAGTTTATAAAAGAGCCGAGCCGCATCAGTCGGTTAGTGAAACGAGGAAGCAGAAAAACAGAGGTCTGTGATGTATTTTGTGAAACAGAAGAACAGATAAATAAATGCAACGGCCTCCCAAGAAGAGCTCGCCTCTCTCCAGTCATTTAAGCTAAAGTGGGTTATTGAACCTGAAGCTTGCCCCCCTGTTTCCTCGACTACGGTCTGGGAGCCGACAGGAAAGTTCAACACAGATGGCCAGTCCGCCCCTTTGCAGCATATTATTTCGATGAGAGATGAGCAGATCGCCACTGGGCTTTCAACTAAAGACACAGCCACGCAAAAACTGCGGCATTTGTACAGCTCCTTATGGATACTGCAATTTGTGAAGGGCACGCGTGCCAGGGGTTGCCGACCCCTGGTCTGATGCTTTCAATTCTTTGATCTCTAAATGGTCGTACTCAAAGCCCTAGTCAAGAGATGAACTCCCCTGTTTTTGATTTCGCTTATTTCTCGGTCTCTGAAGTCTTACAGGGTTTGAACTCAATTGATCCTAAAAAGTCTGCCGGGCCTGACGCCCTCGACCCATTCTTTAAAAAAATTGCAGCTCAGATTATAGCACAACCAGTAACTGATATGTTTAATCTCTCCCTGTTCACTCACACACTGCCAGCTGTGTGGAAGCAAGCTCTGGTATCGCCCCTCTTGAAAGCTGGTGACCCCACAGAGTTGAATAACTATCGTCCTATCTCAAATCTTTCTGTGTTATCAAAGCTTCTTGAGTCCCTAGTTTCTACTCAGCTAAAACTTTTTTTAAATTCACACAACATTCTTAACCCTATGCAATCTGGATTCAGATCAAAGCACAGTACTGTGACTGCCAGTCTGAAAGACATAAACGCGAGTGAAGTATAACCGGACGCGAGAGAGAGACCAGATCAGCTGATGAGTCTGACGGAGACACGCAGCTCTGCATGATCACCTGAAGCTC